TCAGCCGGCAGTGGTCAGACCCGGGCATGGGGTAGAGTGGGGCACCTGGGGCCTGTGTTAGGAGTGATGCTGCCGCCATGGCCGGTATGCCTCATGGCCTCCATAGTGCAACAGATCATGGCTTTAAGTGGGAGGAAGCAGGGCAAGCTCAGGATTCCCCTTTCTCTGCACCTCATCTCTCTCTCCTGGGGGTCCCTGGGGTCTTCTCCCTTCTGTGGGTGCCCAAGGCTGAGCACTGCAGGGCTCCATGGACACTCCTTGTGGATGGGAGGGCACGGTGTCAGGACTCTGGGGGTGTCCAGGTGCTGCCTCTTTCTCTGCCAGGCTGTCAGACACCTGCGTGAGCTGGAGACACGGAGGATAGTGTATGTGCAGGGTTAGGTGTGGGGGAGCACCTTCCTTCCCTCCTGATGCTCTGATGAGGTCCGTGTAGCCTCCACCAACCTCCAGCTCTGCTGCTTGCTTCCTGCCAGCGGGCAGCACAGGACGGGCTGGCGGGAGGAAGAGCGCAGGGTGGGGGTGCCCAGTGGCTATATTAAGGCCCTGGGCCTGATGGCTTCCGCTGAGAGGGGAAAGACTTAAATTTAGCAGCATGATGGTGCCCGGTGGTGGAGCTGTCATACAGGGCGTCGTCCAGCACATCCCTCATACGAGATGGAACAGAGGGAGGGGTTGCTTTCCCGGCCGGTCCCACTTTCCCCTGGGACCCTCTTCACGGACAGAGTCCAGAGTTCCGGGGCCCTTTCAGCATCGGGACTGCTCCATTCTTGAGGGCTCTGTCTGTCCTGTCTGCCCCACTGGAGACACCACCAACAGGGAAGCCTCCCTGGGATGGTGGGTGCTTGGCACGGCAAGCCTGGCAGATACTGGGCCTGATACACATGTACATGGGTTACACACCTGGTGGCAGATATGTGGCACCCCTCCCCACCATAGATGGAGAAACTGAGGCTTAGTCAGAAACAACTGGGCTGGCTCTGCTGGGTGCCTGGGAGTAGCACTGTGGTGTGGGAATACCGAGGCCCAGATGCCAGGAGTCACTTCTGTGAGTCCAAGGGATGAGGTTGGATGGTGCAGAGCACAGGGGCCACCCAGCAGCAGGTGGGAGGAACAACAATGACAGCAGTAATCATACGTCCCCGCTCAGGTCCTCACCAGGTAGCTCCGCGCCTTCTGTGGTATCTCCTCCATACAACCCACAGACCTCCTTCCACCTAGGTCCAGGGCCCCCGCAACCCCTCACCTGGAGTCGGGTGCAGAGAATGGGTTGGGCTGGTCTCACCTTCCATGGAGACGTGAACCCCAGAGGATGGCCTGGGAGAAGAGGCTGTGGCTGTCCAGCCTGGAGGACACTGCCCCTCTCCAGCACGGAGACCCCATCCAACCTGGAGGACACTGTCCTTCCCCAGCATGGAGGCCCCATCCAGTCTGGAGGACACTGTCTTTTCCCTGTGTGGAGGCCCTGTTTAACCTGGAGGACACTGTCTTTCTCCAGTGCGGAGGCCCTGTCTGGCCTGGGGGATATTGTCCTTCCCCAAAGTGGAGGCCCTGTCTGGCCTGTGGGACACTATGCTTCCCCAGCGTGGAGGCCTCATCTGTCCTGAAGGACACTGTCATTCTCCAGCATGGAGGCCCCATCTAGCCTGGAGAACACTGTCCTTCCCCAGCACAACCTTGGCTCTGGAGCCCTGGGGTGGGGTGGGGGTCATTATCGCTCATTTTCCCGCTTGGGGGCCCAATACTCCATTGTGAGCCCTGAGGTGAATGTGCAGGGACCAGGACCAAGGGTGGGGAGGGGTCTGACCTCCAGCCAGGCTACCCTGACTGCTCTGTGCCTCAGTTTCCTCATGTAGAGAGATAGCTGCTCTGTGCATGGAGACAGCATGGCAGCAAGCCCACCCCAAGGGTACCAGCACCTGCTGTGCCCATCAGAGCCACACTGGACAACATGGAAACATGGGGGCCCCTTGTCCCAAGCTGCAGGTCAGATGAACAGTAGGTGGCTGGCCAGGGACTCCTGGTGGATTCAGACCCCGGACCACGGTAGTACGGGGCTCTCAAGGTACAGGCTCTGGGCACCCACTCGACTCAGGATCCTGTTGGAATGCTTCCTCCTTGGGTCTGGGGAGGCCTGGGTGTCTGTACCTGTCAGCACTAGGGACTGGTGTAGGGAGCCTTGTCCTCACACGGAACTGTATGGGCCAGAGCGAGGGGTCTTGTCTGAGTTCTCACTCACACCAGCTCTAAGGTGATCAGGGCTGGAGAAGTCACCAGTGCTGCTCACAGACCCCGCCTGGTACCCAACAGAAAGAGGAGGCTGGAAGAGGGCAGAGGGACTGCCAGGCGGAGGTGGGCTTGGCTGAGAGGAGGCTCCCCATAGGAACCCAACCAGAAATGTCACACTATGCCCGGCGGCCCTCCCCTGGCACCAGGGCTCTGGAAGGGCTCAGCATCCTGAGTCTCAGCAGAGCCTGCACTTGCCCCTGTGGCTCCAAGAATCAGGAGGCCAGGGAAGCCCAGCTCCACTCAGATCCCTGGGACATGTGTCTGAGAGCAGAGCAGACTTGCTGGGGCCAGCAGGCAGGGATGTCCCAGGGGAGAAGGCGTGAGACCCAGGGCTGCATCGTGCAACTTGTCTAATAAAAAAATAATGCATGAGTTGGCAGCAGTGGCTCATACCTGTAATCCCAAAACTTTGGGGAGGTTGAGGAAAGAGGATTGCCTGAACCAAAGAATTTTTTGCTTTGTTTTTGTTTACTTTTGAGTCAGAGTTTTACTCTGTCACCCAGGCTGGAGTGCAGTGGCACGCTCACAGCCACTGCAGCCTCAACCTGCTGGGCTCAGGCTATCCTTTCACCTTGGCCTTCCAGGTAGCTGCAACCACAGGCCCTTGCCACTACACCCAGCTAATTAAAAAAAAATTTGTTGTAGAGATGAGGTCTTGCCAAGTTGCCCAGGATGGTCTTGAACCCCTGGACCCAGGCAGTCCTCCCACTTCCGTCTCCCAAAATGCTGAGATAACAGGCTTGAGTCACTGTGCCAGGCAACACCTTCTTTCCTAAAGTCAACACAAGACAGATTTCTGTCATTGTGATGGAAACAATCTTGTCCAGTGAGAGTTGGCCTGGGCTGGCATCCTTCTACCTCCTGCCTGTGCGAAGTCTGTGTCTCTGATTAATACGTAATGGGAAGGCCAGGCACGGAGGCTCATGCCTGCAATCCTAGCACTTTGGCCAGCCAAGGTGGGAGGATTGTTTGAGTCTAAGAGTTTGAGACAAGCCTGGGCAACACAGTGAAACCTCGTCTCCACAAAAAATAAAAAAAGTGAGTCAGATGTGATGCCTGTGCCTGTAAGTCCCAGCTGCTCGAGAGGCAGAGGCAGGAGGATAGCCTGAGCCCAGGAGGTAGAGGCTATGGTGGGCTGTGCCAGTGCACTCCAGCCTGGGTGACAGTGAGACCCCGGCTCAAAAAGATACAAATGAAAATAAACAAAAATATGAGGCACCATCCCACGGCGGTGTAGGGGGCATGGGCCTGGGTGTGAGCCTGAGGCCCAGGGCTTCATCTTACAACTTGGCTCATGACTTTCTCTGCCTTTAAAAAGCAAGACCCCATCCCGTGGGATGGTGGGGAAGAGCATCTGGAGACAGGACCTCGGCAGTGGATGCCAGAGACGACCGTGTGAGGGAGGAGGTTCCACATGGCGGCCCATTGGCACTCTCGCTGACTCACGATAATGAGAAGACTTTTGGATCCAATAGGGAATTTTTTTCAAAAGCTCTAAGTTGGAAGATTTCACATAAAAAATCCAAGTTTCG